GCCCGCCCCCCCCCCTTTCCGCCTGCCGCTTTTGCCTTCTTCATCGCACCTTCCCTTCGCCCCGACGCGCACGTCCAACGAGCGCCTCCCTCGCCGCTTTCTCGGAGAGAAGCCCTCTCGCCGCCCGCGGGAGCGGTAGGTTCCTCCGCCCTTTTCTTTCGCCCTTCCTCCTCCTCCCCCCGGCCAACCCAGCCGCGCACAAGTGCATACCATGCTTTCAGGTCGGATCTTTCAGGTGTGTCAGCCTGTCCCCATCCTCACGCGCCCACATGCCAGCCTGGTGGCCTTTCCTAACCACACCATCTATCCATGTGCTTCCCTCGCCCGCCCCCCCCCCCTCTCTCTCTCTCTCTCTCTCTCTCTCTCTCTCTCTCTTTTCCCCCCTGCCTCATCAGGCTGTCTTTGGTGGTGGCGCGGCGGCTGACGCGGCCGCCGGTCCGGACGCCGCCCAGCGGCCAGCCTCCTCTGGTGCCGGCTCCACCGACGCCACCACTGGCATCCAAACGGCCGAGGATCCCTCCAAGACCCCGGTTCCCGGCTCTCCGGCCGCCGGCGTCCCGCCCAAGTCCAAGAAGGTCTACGGCGCGAGCTACATGCATGCGGTGTCGGTGGAGTCGCTCAGCAGCACGCCCTCCTCGCCCGGGGTTGGCTCCCCCGTCGTGACCAAGGCTGTCGTTGCCCCGGCATCGACCACTGCCACTGCCACCGCTACCCCGACCAGCCCCACGTCCGACGGCCCACACGACGACCACATCTTCGACCAGGCAGTACGTCGCTGGAGCCCTTGTGCGGGCCCCCGGCCCCCGAGGGCCGCCGCCTCTGGCCTCGCACGCGTGCGCGCGCGCGCACACACATGCGCATCCATGCACATCGCCGATTGACACCATGTACACGCACATTTCTCGTCCCCCTCCCCCCCGGACCTCTTAGGCCTTCCTCGAGGCTGCCAAGGACATGTCCCCCGAGGATGCGGCTCTGTTCAAGCGCAAGCTCCAGCAAATGAACCGCCTCCTGAAGGATGAGCTGGTTGAGCTAGACCAGCAGGCGTCCATGCTTGAGAATGTGCGCCCGGGTGGTTCCTCCCCTGCTCCCCCGCCCTTGGCATCTTCTCCCCCCCTGCTCTCTCTCTCTCTCTCTCTCTTGCTCGCTGCTTGTCCATCATGTGCTCACTCATCCTCCGCCGGCCCTCTCTCTCTCTCTCTCTCTCTCCTCCAGCTCTCGGAAAATGCCGACTTCTCGCGCAGTAACACCGACTCGCGGCCCAGCCTCAAGGACATGAAGAAGCGCTCAGCCCAGAGCCGCTTCGACCAGCTCTTCGAGGAGGATAGTGCGTGGTGCCTTGTTGGCCTCCTCGCCCGCTGCCCCCCTCCCGTCTTTTGGGGGATTTTCCCACCCAGGACTGTCCTCTGATCCCCCCCCC